GGCTCCGCGCCGCGGCGGCTCCGCGCCCGCCGCCGGCACCGGCATCGCCGCCGCCGCCGCGCCTGAGGGACAGCGCCGCCGGCCAATGGCGACGCGAGGGAGGGGGAACCTCGCGCGGTGATTGGGGAAGCGCGTTCGGAGGGCGGTGCTGGCGGGAGGGATTGACCAATGAAGGCGCGCGGAGGGCGGGGCCGCCGCTGGTGATTCGCGGAGGCGGAGCGGAGCTGGAGACGGGCGCGCCGCCTCCTGCCGAGCCGCTCCGCGCAGCGCGGGATGGGGGAACAGCGGGCGGCGTCTGAGCTCCCCCTTTTGCTTCCCCTGTTCAAATACGTCATTTCATGGCCGTTCTCTCTTTTTGGCGTGCTTTTTCTCCTCCTCCGCGGGAGTGCGCAGAGGCCGCGGAGAGAGGTCGGCGGCCGGGCTTCGAGAGACCACAAGTTCCATGAGCCTTTGCGGCAAAACAGACTACAACTCCCGGCGTTGCCCTGCGGGTCGGGAAAACGAGCTGCATTAAGGGGTCGGGAGGAGAGGAAATCCTCGGGGAGGTTCCTCCCCGAACGGCGGCAGCCTGGCAGGGCCCGAGAGCTGCCCGCGGTGGGGAGGGGATAGCGGGGCGGACCCGGAGGACATGGAGGGCGAGGAGGCCCCGTCATGGCGGGGTCCCGGCGGGGCCGTGCGGGAGCTCTGCCGCTCCTTCGGCCACTACAACCGGCACCTGGCGCGGCTGCAGCACAACCTGCGAGAGACCAAGAGGTTCTTCCGCGACGTCAAGTTCTCCCAGGGACATCCCTTCGCCTCGGCGCCTGCCGGTGACGGCCCCCGCCCCGCCTGGGATGGGGATGGGGGTCCCGGGGACGGCGGTGAGAGACGGGCGGGGTGTGAGGGTGACGGGTCGGGAAAACGAGCTGCATTAAAAAGTAAATAAACTACATCTCCCAGCGTGCCTCGCGCGCGGGGTGCGCCGGGCCTCCTCCCCCTTTGCCCTGCGGCGCGCCGACAAACGTTCCGCGCACACGCAGCGCGGCCGGTGGAGGCGCTTCCCCTCGGGAGAAGGCGGCGGCCGCGGGTGTGAGGGCGAGGGGTCTGGGCGGGTAAAGGGGAAACTTCTGCGGGTGAGGGGTCTCTGGGGGGCTTGTGAGGGGTCTCTGGGGGCTTGCGAGGGTTGCGGTGCGGAGTGAAGCGTCCAGCTTGAGGGAGCTGTCATGGGGGTTACAGGGCTGGGGGTGCCTGGAGGGCGGGAGAGGCTCTGTGGGGTGAAGGGAGGAGGGCAGGGGGTGACTGAGGGTGGGTGTGAGGAAAATGTTCTTGTCGCAAATGGTGCTGGGCACTGCCCAGGCTCCCCAGGGAATGGGGACAGCTCCAGGAGCGTTTGGACAGCGCTGCAGGGATGCTCGGGGTGGGATTTTGGGGTGTCTGTGCAGGGCCAGGAGCTGCAGCCACCATCCCTGTGGGTCCCTGCCATGGATTTCTGATGGGGACCCTCTCCCCCTGACCCCCACGGGAGAGGAGGGGAGGGGGCTGGGAAGAGGCAGCCCCTGCAAGGGGGTGGGATGAGGGGCTGGCATTCCCCGTTTGTCCCGGAATTCCGTGTGGGAATTGTGGCCTCAGCGGGGGCTCTGTGCTCATCTGCTGCTGTTGACAAACAGAGCTGAGGGTGGCACCTCTGCTGCCAAGGGCAGCACTTGGTGTTTCCATGAGACTGCCTCGTGAGAGGGGCTCGGTGTGACGTGACACGTCCATAAAGGTCTTCTTCATTCATCCCCAAAAGGCTCCTGAGTCATCTCTCGTGGCCCCTTCTCCGGGATTCTTGTCCAGGATTTTTGGACCTGCTCACCTTGCACTCCAAATCCTGGTTTCGTGTTCAAAGTGTTGAGTTTTTCTGGCTGTGTATATATATAAAAAAAAAAAAAATGGTTTTGGGCTGATTTGGGGTTCATTTTCCCGAGTTGTGGCTGGAAAGGTTTTGGGAATACCTCGGGATTTTGGGGAGTGGCTGCTGCCCCTCTCACCAGGCTGGGTGGGGAGGGAGATTTTGGGAAGGAGCAGAGCCAGGTGAGCCTGTGATGTTTGGAATTTGGGATTGTTGTGCCTGGAGAAGAGGAGGATTTGGGGTGACCTGACGAGAAAAGCTGGAATATTTCCAATATTTCCAAGGGATGGAGTGCCAGCACACAGGGAATGGCACTGCCAGAGGGCAGGGAGAGATGGGATTTTGGGAATAAATCCTTCCCTGGGAGGGGCTGGGATGGAATTCCCAGGGAATCTGTGGCTTCTCCATCCCTGGGAATGTCCCAGGCCAGGTTGGACTTTGGGATAAAATGGAAAAAATAGGAAAAAAATTGATCAAGTGGTACCCTGGGATAGTGGGAGGTGTCCCTGCCCATGGCACTGGATGATCCCACCCAACCCATTCCAGCATTCCCTGGGCTGCTTTGGGTGGGATATTGGGAATAAATCCCTCCCTGGAATTCCCAGAGAATCTGTGGCTGCCCCTGGATCCCTAAGAGTGTCCAAGGTCAAGTTTGGTAGTGGATAAAAAATGGATTAAAAGTGAAAAAAGAAAGATATAAAAATAAATAAAATATAGATTAAAATACAGCTAAACTGTGGATAAAAATATGGCTAAAAATTTGATTAAATGCAATCTGGGATAGTGGGAGGTGTCCCTGCCCATGGGATTGGATGATCTCTTCCAACCCAACCCATTCCAGGATTCCCTGGGCTGCTTTGGGTAGGATATTGGGAATAAATCCCACCCTGGGAGGGGCTGGGATGGAATTCCCAGGGAATTCATGGCTGTTCAAACCATGTTCAAACCAGGATGGTGGAAATCCTCCTTTTTCCCCTGGGGAGGTTTTTAGGTGTCAGGAGGTTTAAGGAGCTCAATTTTCCTTGACTTTTCCCCAAAATCTGCCCCTCAGGTGGTACCAAAGTAGGGGAATTTCACCCAAGGGCTTGTGCAGGGTCAGTTTTGTGCAGCACAGAGGGAGCTGGGGGGGAAAACCAACCTGGAAAATAAACGTGGATGTCGTGGAAGCCAAAGCAGCGTGGAGGGTTTGCTTTTGGGGCACCTGCAGGACGGATTGTGACAGCACAGGGAGGGAAATTCCCTTTGGATCAGCTCCCAGACACAACCAGGGCTGAGTATCTGCTGAGTATCTGCTGAGTAGGAGCCCCTGAGCCCCCCAGGTGAGCTCAAGGAGACAGTAAATCCTTTCATTTCCCACTTTCCCTGCTTGGAGGGTGACACAGCTCCCGTCACTGCGAGGTTTTGCTGCTCTGAGGTTACTCCCAGGTTACTCCTGGTAGCAGAACTGAGCTGGATCCAGGGGCAGCCACTGTTTGTGAGGGAAGGGAAAGTTGTGTTTGCTCTGCCTGCCTTTCCCAGGGAGTCAGCAAAATCCTGGCTCTTCCCTAGAGCTCCCTCTCCTCGCTCCAGGCAGGCTGGGAATTTGGGGATCCTTTCATTCCAACCCAAAAATCCCCCCAGAAAGTCACTGGGGTGCAGCAGCTGAACTGGAATTATTGAATCCTCCCCAAAAAATCACTGGGGTACAGCAGCTGAACTGGAATTACTGAATTCCCCAAAAAATCACTGGGGTGCAGCAGCTGAACTGGAATTACTGAATTCTCTCCCCAAAAAATCGCTGGGGTGCAGCAGCTGAACTGGAATGATTGAAGGATTATTTGTGAGGACGTACAAATAGAATCCTGGGATGGTGTTCCAGGAATTGCCTATTGGGAATTTCCTCCAATCCTCAGGCTTTTGGGTTCTTGGGGAGGTTTAAAAACAAAAGCTGAGTTAGGGATTTGCAGCATAAAATGGGTAAAGGTATGAAAAAAAAGATCAAATTGTTTTGTGCTCATTGGGGTTGTTTTCTTTGTGCCTGTAATGATTGGAACAATCTGACCTGGAAACCTGAGGGTCTGGAGGTTTCTTTTGCCTTATTTTAGGAATTTTTGGAGGAAATCCCCAGAGTTTTGGGCAGCAAGTGGGGGTTCCATTAATGGTGTGTGCTGGGGCTCAGCTTCCAGAAATAAATGTATTTTTTAGGGAGTTATCCAGAGGGTTTGGAGGTGTTTTTGTGTTGATCTCTGCTGGCTCTGAGGGGTTTATCCTGTTCAAATGTGAGCTCTGCTGATATCAGTGTGATCCTGTGAGGATTAGGGCTCCTTTTGGGGGTAAAAAGTTGGATTTAAGAGCAGTGGAGAGGTGGTTGGGATGGGATTTGTGTCATAACTCCTCAGGCTGATGAAAGGATTTCCCAAGGAGCTTCAGAGGATGGAATTTGGCTCTGCAGCCTTTGGAGCTGCTGAAATCAGAATTAATTGGATTTGTTTTCTCCTGGAATCAACACCTCTGTGCTGATATGGAACTAAAAGTGGATTTATTTAGAATTCCAGACTGGTTTAAGGACCTTAAACCCCATCCAGTCCCACACGTTCCAGGGTGCTCCAAGCTGGTTTTGGACACCTCAATTGATACAAATGTGTTGAGATTAAATCTCGTGGTGGTCAAAGCCTGCTGGAAGTCAAAACCAGCAGCTCAGAAATGGCCAGAATCCTTGGAAAAACCCTCAATATTGGCAAAAACAGAGTCTGGAAAACGGAATAAAGGCAAGCGAGACCATCAAAGTGCAGGAAAAGGGATGAATCAATGCTTGGAGCTTCCACAGATTCCATAAGTCCGAGCTGAGGTTGTTCTGCTGAGCTTTGAGTGGATTTGGAGAGGAGTCCTGGTGAGAGCCGCCCTTGTTCCACGGACAGGCCTCCTTTCATCCCGGGAATTCATGGGATGTGTGCCCCGGGGCTGGTCACATGGCCCGGCAGGGACCGAGCCGGGATGGAATTGGGATGGAGCCGGGTGGGGCTGGGATGGAACTGGGATGGAATTGGGATGAGGCTGGAATGGGGCTGGGATGGAATTGGGGTGGAGCCAGGGTGGATCTGGGATGGGGCCTGGATGGAATTGGGATGGAGCCGGGATGGAATTGGGATGGAACCAGGGTGGGGCCAGGATGGAGCTTGGATGGAGCAGGGGTTGGAATTGGGGTGGAGCCAGGGTGGATCTGGGATGGGGCTGGGGTGGAATTGGGATGGAGCTGGGATGGAGCCAGGGTGGAGCTCCAGCCCCCGGATCTGCTCAGGAATGTGGCTGCATCCCTCAAAAGTGGGAAGCTCTGATCCCACTTTTTGTTGAGTCCCTTCCACCCTGGATCTGTGTCCATGCTGACCACGGGGTGTGGAATCACAGGGAAGGTGTTTTAACCTCAGATCCTGGAGGAAAGATGGATTTGGGAGGACCTTGGGAAAGGTGTTTTAACCCTAAATCCTGGAGAAGAGAATGGATTTGGGAGGACCCCGGGAAAGGTGTTTGAACCTCAGATCCTGTAGGAAAGATGGATTTGGCAGGACTTTGGAGCAGTTTCCCAATAGCCAAAGGAGCTCCAAGAAGGCTGGAAAGGGAAATTTTCATCTGGATAAGAGGAATGAGGGAAGGTTTAGATGGGATATAGGAAGAAATTCCTCTCTGTGAGGGTGGGGAGGGGCTGGGATGGAATTCCCAGAGAATCCATGGCTGTTCCATCCCTGGGAGTGTCCAAAGCCTGGGCCACTGAAGGTGTCCGTGAATGACAGAGGAACAGGATCAGCTTTAAGGTCCAACCCAAACCATCCCAGCATTCTCCATCCATAGAAATAATCCTTCAATAATTTTGTTTAAGCTGCTGTATCCCTGTGATTTTTCGGAGGTATTTTTGCTGGATTTAAGGATCCACCAATTCTGAGCCTTCCTGGAGGGAGGAGAGGGAGCTCTGCTGCCTCTTTAGCCTCCAGAAGCCTCAGCAGAGAAAAGGCTCTGCCTCTGCAGCCCTCCCTGAATTGCTGTTTTCATGCTCCAGAGCCTGAATCCCAGGAGAAGCTCCAAGCAATGTCCCCAGATCAAAGCCATCCTACGGATGAAGGCTCAAATGTGCAATTTGTGGGATTTTCCCAGATCTTTATCTTTTGTGAGCTCCTGGTCAGCTTCCAGCCCTCTGGTCACTTGATGTGGCTCTTGAAAGGCTTGTTTGGAAAGCAATCTCAAAAATCACATTTCAAGGAGAGATTCCTCTCTTCAGCCATTCCCAAACTCGGGGTTTGGGCATTTTTGCAGCATAAAATAGAAAAAAAATCAAATTGTTTTCTGCTCATTGGAGTTGTTTTCTTTGTGCCTGTAATGATTGGAACAATCTGACCTGGAAACCTGAGGGTCTGGAGGTTTCTTTTGCCTTATTTTAGGAATTTTTGGAGGAAATCCCCAGAGTTTTGGGCAGCAAGTGGGGGTTCCATTAATGGTGTGTGCTGGGGCTCAGCTTCCAGAAATAAATGTATTTTTTAGGGAGTTATCCAGAATTGGGGTTCTGTGGGGCAGAGGTGCAGTGCTGAGCCACAAAGAGGGTTTTTCCTTAGTTTTGGCGTGGAAAAACTCCTCCAAAATCCTATTTCCAGCTGGAAGATTTGAGGGGAAGGCAAACCTTGGGCAGGGTTTTAAAGAAGCTTTAAACCAATCTAAGACTACACAAAGTGCTCCCAATTTGGCTGATTTTAATTAAACTGGAGTGATTAAGCTGTCAGAGTGAGGAGAGGGATGTGTTGTAGGATCTCTTTAATGGGGTTTGGAGTGTGAGTAGGATCCTAGTGGAGGATCTTGTTTTCCTGACAATTTGGGCTGCCAGGACATGACTCATGAAAAAAAAAAAAAGAATTTTAACAGCAATTTTTAAACAGGATTTTTAACCCTGTAAAATCCCTTCCAGTATCAGAGCAATCCTAGTGCTTTGTACCTCTCAAATTGGGCATTTTTTAGGGACTGGTGGCTCCATTTCCCATTTAATTTCATTCCTGGGCCGCGTGCTGTGGAATTTTTGTGTTCCTGATGAGGGATTTGTTTGTGTTTTTGGGGCTGTCAGAGTCATTCTGCTGCTGTGCACGAGGGTAACGCTGAATTTAGCTCCTGTCAAAGCTGGTTTTGGACTTTTTAAAAAAGAAAACAGGAGCTAAACTCAGCCCTGAGCGTGCATTGGCACAGCCAGGTGATGTTTGTGGGGTGGGAGGGAGGTTTGTGGAGTCTGGGGGAAGTTTGTGGGGTGTGAGGGCCATTTGTGGGGTGTGAGGGAGGTTTGTGGGGTGTGAGGGCCATTTGTGGGGTGTGAGGGCCGTTCTTGGGGTCTGAGTGACATTTGTAGGGTGTGAGCGAGGTTTGTGGACACTGAGGGAGGTTTGTGGGGTCTGGGTGAGGTTTGTAGTGTCTGGGGGCAGTTTGTGGGCTCTGAGGGAGGTTTGTGGGCTCTGAGGGCCGTTTGTGGGGTCTGAGGGAGGTTTGTGGGCTCTGAGGGAGGTTTGTGGGATCTGGGAGAAGTTTGTGGGCTCTGAGGGCCATTTGTGGGGTCTGAGTGATGTTTGTAGGGTGTGAGGGAGGTTTGTGGGCTCTGAGGGAGGTTTGTGGGGTCTGAGGGCAGTTTGTGGGTTCTGAGGGAGGTTTGTGGGGTGTGAGGGAAGTTTGTGAGCTCTGAGGGAGGTTTGTGGGATCTGGGAGAAGTTTGTGGGCTCTGAGGGCCATTTGTGGGGTCTGAGTGATGTTTGTAGGGTGGGAGCAACATTTGTAGGGTGTGAGGGCCATTTGTGGGCTCTGAGAGAGGCTTGTAGGCTCTGAGGGCTGTTTGTGGGTTCTGAATGAAGTTTGTAGGATCTGAGCAACATTTGTGGGGTGTGAGGGCCGTTTGTGGGCTCTGAGAGAGGTTTGTAGAGTGTGAGGGAGGTTTGTGGGCTCTGAGGGAGGTTTGTGGGCTCTGAGGGAGTTTTGTGGGCTCTGAGGGAGTTTTGTGGGCTCTGAGGGAGGTTTGTGGGTTCTGAGGGAGGTTTTTGGGTCTGAGGCCTGTTTGTGGGCTCTGAGGGAACCTTGTGGGCTCTCAGGGAACTTTGTGGGCTCTGAGGCTGTTCCAGAACCTTCTGGCTGGCAGCAAAGTGCCTTCCCTGGGGCTCATCCCTTCCTTGCTGGAATTCTGTGGTCCTATAACAATAATAAATTAATTCTTTTCCTGCCATCACCCTGCCATGGCACAGCAGGAACTCCCCCATCCAGCAGCTGCTCTGGGCGTTCCCCTGGGCTGTGGGGCTGCAATGTCCCATTTTTAGGGCCCACCCCTGAGCCCTGTCCCCGTTTCAGGCCCCAGCCCCGTCTCGTTCCCGCGGCACGAGGAGGAGCAGCTGCAGCGCTCGGTGAGCTGGAGGCCATGCCTGCTGATCCTGGGCCAGAACTGCCGCGCCAAGGGCCGCCTGCTGAACACGCTGCTGGGCCAGGAGCTGCTGCCCACCCCTGGGACTGGCACCAAGGAGCTGCTGCCCACGGCTGGCACCACAGAGCTGCTGCCCACCCCTGGGACTGGTACCAAGGAGCTGCTGCCCAGCCCTGGCGCTGGCACCAAGGAGCTGCTGCCTGCTGCTGGGGCTGTCACCGAGGAACTGCTGCCCACCCCTGGGGCTGTCACCAAGGATCTGCTGCCTGGTGCTGGCACTGCAGAGCTGCTGCCCACCCTTGGGACTGGCACTGAGGAGCTGCTGCCCGGGACTGGCACCGAGGAGCTGCTGCCCACCCCTGGGGCTGGCACGGGCACCGAGGAGCTGCTGCCCACCCCTGGGACTGGCACGGGCACCGAGGAGCGCTGCCGGCGCCGCCGAGTGCGCTTCACGCATGGGGCGCGGCCGCGGCTGAGCCTGGCGCTGCCCGGGCAGTACGAGCTGGTGCAGGCGCTGGTGGCACACAGCGGGCACTGGGACACCATCCCCGAGCAGGACCTGCAGGTGCCCGGGGACGCCGAGGATCCTGCGCAGAGGGTGGCCGAGCTGGAGGTGGTGCTGCCCTGCGCGCTGCTCAAGGTGAGGGTGGCACCGTGCCTGGCACTGCCCCGGTGCCTGGGAGCTTGGGGTGGCACTGCCACTGTCATGGTCTGTGGGGAGCTTGGGGTGGCACTGCCACTGTCATGGTCTGTGGGGAGCTTGGGGTGGCACTGCCACTGTCATGGTCTGTGGGGAGCTTGGGGTGGCACTGCCACTGTCCTGTTCAATAAATTCCCCTGCTGGCTCTTTCCTGGGACACTTGTCCTAAGTTTTGTCCTAAAACTGCAAGGATTTGGTCCAAATAAGGAATTTGGAGTTAGGGATCAGCCTTGCAGGTGAGACTCCAGATCTGCTTTGAAGAATTCCAGTTTTTTGCTGTGAACGACTCCCAGGGCATTTTTCCATGGCAAAAGCCTCTCCAAACCTCCTCCATTTTTCTTTTTCCCAGGAAGTGGATATCGTGGTGGCTCCATGCCGAAGCTTCCAGTCAGCTGAGGCCACCCTGGCCGAGTTTGTGAACCAGGTGCTGCCCGTTGTCACCTTCGCCATCAGCGAGCCCCAGCTGTCCCCATCGGACCAGGCAGAACTTCGGGAAATCAAACAAAAGTTCTCCCTCCCCATCTTCTTCCTGCGAATCCCCGAGGCCAGCAGCGAGCTGAGCTCTCCCAAAACCCCCACCAAGGACAAATCCCCGCTGCACCTGCAGCTGCTGGATCTGGAATACCTGAGCCCCTCCAGCCCCTGCGGCTGCGGCGTTCCCGGCTCCTCCATGCTGGTGGAGCAGCTGGAGAAGCTGCGGCTGCTGAGCTCCTTCTCCAGGCAGGTGCTGCAGCAGCACCTGGTGGAGGCAGCCACGAGGCTGAGCGAGGTTCACGGGCGCTGCCTCAACATCTTCATCAACCAGGCCTTCGACATGCAGCGGGACCTGCAGATCACCCCGAAAAGGTTGGAGTACACGCGCAGGAAGGAGAACGAGCTCTACGAGTCGCTGATGGGCATCGCCAACCGCAAGCAGGAGGAGATGAAGGAGATGATCGTGGACACCCTGGGCAATATGAAGGAGGAGCTGCTGGAGGATGCTGCCAGCATGGAGTTCCGAGGTGGGAGCCAGCTGGAGGGTTTGGGGTGCTGGGGGGAAGGGAGTTGGGAAGAAATGCAAAATTGGCACAGCAGTTTGGTGGGATTCCAGCCTGCAATTCCCAGATGGTCACAGAGCCCTAAACACAAATCGAGGATCAGGCAGATCCTGCCCACAATAATTCCATTAATTCAGTGAGACTCCAACCTGCAATTCCCGGGTGGTCCCAGAATGCTGAACATGAATCAAAATCAGGGATCAGGCAGATCCTGACCACAACAATTCATGGATTCGGTGAGACTCCGGCCTGCAATTCCCAGATGGTCACAGGACCCCAAACGAGGATGAAAATCAGGGATCAGGCGGATCCTGACCATGATAATTCCAGGAATTCAGTGAGACTCCAGCCTGCAATTCCCAGGTGGTCTCAGAATGCTGAGCATTAATCAAAATCTGGCATTGGGCTGATCATGACCACGATGATTGATGGATTCAGTGAGACTCCAACCTGCAGTTCCTGGATGGTCACAGAGCCCCAAACGAGGATGAAAATCAGGGATCAGACAGATCCTGACCACAATAATTCCACTAATTCAGTGGGATTCCAATCTGCAATTCCCAGATGATCCCAGAACCCTAACCAGGAATTAAAATCTGGGATCAGGCAGATCCTGACCACAATAATTCCATGAATTCAGTGAGACTCCAACCTGCAGTTCCTGGATGGTCACAGAACCCCAAACACAGATGAAAATCAGGGGTCAGGCAAAATCCATTTTTTGGTAGAATCTGTTGGAAGAAGTGATAATGGTCTTGAATAAAATAATTATGCATGAAATGGTCATAATCGTCAGTAAAATCATTAATAATCTTAGATAAAGTAATTAATAATCTTTGATAAAATAATGATGATAATCTTGGATAAAATAATGATAATAATATTGGACATAATGATCATAAGAAATCTTGGATAAAATTATAAATCTTGGATAAAATAATAATTAATAATCTTGAATAAAATGATCATAATCTTGTCTAAAACAATAATAATGCAATTCTGGCATCATTGGGAAGAACGTTATTTTAAAACAACATCAGCATCAGCATGTGCACTCCTCAGGAATGTTCTCCCAACAATCCCAGATCTCCAGGATGATTTTTCCTCCTTTCCCTGCAGACATCATCATTCCCGAGAGCGGCGAGCCCGTCAGCTCCAAGGACATCAAGCGCTGCATCCAGCAGATCCAGGAGCTGATCATCTCCAGGCTGAACCAGGCTGTGGCCAACAAACTGATCAGCTCCGTGGATTACCTGAGGGAGAGCTTCGTGGGCACCCTGGAGCGCTGCCTCAAGAGCCTGGAGGAGTCCTGGGAGGGCTCCGTGCACCCGCCCCGGGGGCTGGAGAAACCCCGGGAGGGCTCCGTGCACATCACCAGCAACTATCTCAAACAGGTGGGGGTCGGGTGTGGAACTGAATTTGGGTGAAGTGCTCAAATTACGGCCAGGAGATAACACAGTGAATCAGTGATCTCATAAACCTGTATAAAGTAGTCAAATTATGGTCTCACAATACCTAAAAACTCTGGAGAAACCCAGGGATGGATCCGTGCACATCACCAGCAACTATCTCAAACAGGTGGGGGTCGGGTGTGGAACTGAATTTGGGTGAAATGCTCAAATTACGGCCAGGAGATAACACAGTGAATCAGTTATCTCACAATAGTGTATAAAATAATCAAATTACGGCCATGGAACACACATGAGATAACACAGTAAATCAGTGATCTCATAAACCTGTATAAAGTAGTCAAATTATGGTCTCACAATACCTAAAAACTCTGGAGAAACCCCGGGATGGATCCGTGCACATCACCAGCAGCTATCTCAAACAGGTGGGGATCGGGGTGTGGATCTGCCATGGCCCTCAATTTATGTAAAATAGTTAAATTACAGCATTAAAACACACATGAGATAACACAGTAAATCAATTATCTCATAAACCTTTATAAAATAATCAAATTATGGCCATAAAACAGCTAAAATCTCTGGGGAAACCCCAGGATGGCTCCATGCACATCACCAGCAACTATCTCAAACAGGTGGGGATTGAGGCATGGTCCTGAATTTGGGTGAAATGGTCAAATTACAGCATTAAAACACACATGAGGTAACACAGTAAATCAATTAGCTCCCAAATCTGTATAAAATAATCAATTTACAGCACAAAAACGCACATGAGGTAATACAATCAATCAATTATCTCCTAAACATGTATAAAATAATCAAATTATGGCCATGGAACACACGTGAGATAATGCAGTAAATCAATTATCTCATAAACATGTATAAAATAATCAAATTAAGGCCATAAAAACACCTAAAAACTCTGGAGAAACCCAGGGAGGGCTCCATGCACATCACCAGCAGCTATCTCAGACAGGTGGGCATTGTGGTGGTGGATCTGCCATGGTCCCAAATTTGGGTGAAATGGTCAAATTATGGCCATGAGATAACACAGTAAATCAATTAGTTCCTAAGTCTGTATTAAAAAATCAAATTATGGCCATAAATCACACATGAGATAGCACACAGTAAATCAATTATCTCATAACCATGTATAAAATAATCAAATTACAGCCTAGAACCACCCATGAAACAACAAAATAAACCAATGTGAAATAACACAATGAATCAATTATCTCATAAACTTGTATAAGATAATCAAATTAAGGCCTAAAAGTGCCTGGAAGTGCCCAAGGATGGAGATTGGAGCAGCCTGAGGTGGTGGAATGGGATAAAATTTAAAATCTTTTCCAGTCCAAACCATTCTGGGAATTCCAGGATTATCATTCCACAATATTGGTGGAAAAATCAGGGAGAGCTGTTCCCAAATTGGTGAAATTTCCTGAGCCAAGGTGTGGAAATTCCACATGTTGGAATCAGCACTTCCTGTAATTAGTGGGTAATTAAATTGCTCTGCCTCACCCTTCATTAGAAACCACAGAATTCCAGAGTGGATCCCTCTCCCAGGAAGGGAGGAGGAGGAATCTGGAGTTTGTTCCCACTCTGAGCTGGGATTGTTTGAGGAAAGGTTTTGTTCTTACTCATCCATCTGAGGAGGGAATAAAGTTCAAGCTCAGAGGAGGGATTTCAGGAGGAAATTTAGGAAAATATTTTTTACTGGAAGAGTGATGAAGTTGTGGAATGGGAGGTGGTGGAGTCACCATCCCTGGATGTGTTTAAAAAAAGATTGGATGTGGCACTGTGTGTCTTGGATTGGGGTTGATTTTTGGGACGAGGGCCTTGATTGGAGTTGATTTTTGGGATTGGGGCCTTAGATTGGGAGCTGATTTTTTGAATTGGGGCCTTGATTGGGGTTGATTTTTGGGATTGGGGCCTTGGACTGGGGCTGATTTTTGGGATTTGTGCCTTGGATTGGGACTGATTCCAGAGATTGGTGCCTTGGACTGGGGGCTGATTTTTGGGATTGGGGTCTTGGATTTGGGGCTGATTGCAGAGATTTGTGCCTTGCACTGGGGGCTGATTGCAGGAATTTTTGCCTTGGGTTGAGGGCTGATTCTTGGGATTGGGGCCTTGGGTTGGGGGCTGATTTTTGGGATTTGTGTCTTGGATTTGGGACTGATTCCAGGGATTCATGCCTTGGATTGGGGGCTAATTTTTGGAATTTGTGCCTTGGATTGGTGCTGATTGCAGAGATTTGTGCCATGGATTGGGGCTTATTCCAGGGATTGGTGCCATGGATTTGGGCTGATTTTTGGGCTTTAATTGAAGCGTTAGGGCTGGGTTGAACTCGATGATCTCAAAGCTCTCTTCCAGCCTGGTGATTCCGTGATTTTCCCAGATAATCCAGCGGATCACGTGGGTCAGCCCCCCGGCCATCACCAGCGACTGGAAGAGGAAGGTGGCCCAGGACGCCATCGAGAGCCTCAGCGCCTCCAAGCTGGCCAAGAGCATCTGCAGCCAGTTCCGCACGCGCCTCAACAGCTCCCACGAGGCCTTCGCCGCCTCCCTGCGCCAGGTCAGGGCTCGGGGCTGGGGGAAATGGGGGGTTTGAACTGCAAAAACACCAAAAATCTGCCCTGGAGCTTGGGGCTGGGGAGGGAATGTGGGGTTTGAACTGCAAAAACATCAAAAGTCTGCCCTGGAGCTCAGGGCTGGGGGGGAAATGTGGGGTTTGAACTGCAAAAACTGCCCTGGAGCTCGGGGTTGGGGGGGAAATGTGGGGTTTGAACTGCAAAATCTGCCCTGGAGCTCGGGGCTGGAGGGGAATGTGGGGTTTGAACTGCAAAAACACCAAAAATCTGCCCTGGAGCTTGGGGCTGGGGAGGGAATGTGGGGTTTGAACTGCAAAAACATCAAAAGTCTGCCCTGGAGCTCAGGGCTGGGGGGGAAATGTGGGGTTTGAACTGCAAAAACTGCCCTGGAGCTCGGGGTTGGGGATGGGATGTGGGGTTTGAACTGCAAAAACTACCCTGGGGCTGGGGGGAAAATGTGGGGTTTGAACTGTGAAAACACCAAAATTTGCCCAGGAGCTCAGGGTTGGGGATGGGAACTGGAGTTTTAACTGCAAAAGCAGCAATTTGTGCTCTTAGCGCAGCTGATGTGAACCGTAATTTGAGGTTTTGTTTTTAAACCAGACTTGTGAAGAGCCTAAAACCTCCCTAAACTCCAGCTGTGCATGCATTACATGTATAAAACATCCATAAACAATTTGTTAAGTATAGAACATCCCTGAACAATTGATTAAATGTATAAAACATCCCTAAGCAATTGATTAAATGCATAAAACGTGGTAAACAATTGATTAAATGTATATTTAATGTTTATATGTTTATATAATATTTAATATATATTTAATGTTTAAATGTAATTTAATATTTATGGATGTTTTATAGAAATATATGTAAATATGCATAGATATATATAGATATAACATATATGTATATCTTAATCTATATATATCTAAATCTATATCTACCTAAATCTATATATCTATCTAAATCTATATATATATATCTAAATCTGTATATATATTTATCTAAATCAGTATATATATTTATCTAAATCTGTATATGTCTATCTAAATCTATATATCTATCTAAATCTATATATTTATCTAAATCTGTATATATATTTATCTAAATCTGTGTATACCTATTTAAATCTCTATATCTATCTAAATCTATATATCTATCTAAACCTAGATATATTCTAGATCTATAAATATCTATCTATCTAAATCTATATGTATCTCTAAGTCTATATATCTATCTCAATCTGTATATCTATCTAAAGCTATATAAATCTATCTAAATCAATATATTTATCTAAATCTGTATATATATTTATTCTATCTAAATCTATATATCTATCTAAACCTAGATATATTCTAAATCTATAAATATCTATCTAAATCTATATGTATCTCTAAGTCTATATATCTATCTCAATCTATATATCTATCTAAAGCTATATAAATCTATCTAAATCTATATATTTATCTAAATCTGTATATATATTTATCTAAATCTGTGTATACCTATTTAAATCTCTATATCTATCTAAATCTATATATCTATCTAAACCTAGATATATTCTAGATCTATAAATATCTATCTATCTAAATCTATATGTATCTCTAAGTCTATATATCTATCTCAATCTGTATATCTATCTAAAGCTATATAAATCTATCTAAATCAATATATATAATCTCAAAAAAAAAGGTATCTATATCGAAATCTATCTGTCTATCTAAATCTGTATGTCTCTGTCTAAGCACCCATCTGTCTGTGTGTGTAAATGGTGTTTGTGAGCTGTGTGAGCCGTTGCCAGCCCCGCGTGTCCCATGAGGCTGTGCTGTCCCTGCAGCTGGAGGACGGCCACTCGGGCCGGCTGGAGAGGACCGAGGACCTGTGGCTGCGCGTCAGGAAGGAGCACGCGCCGCGGCTGGCCCGGCTCTCCCTGGAGAGCAGATCCCTGCAGGACGTGCTGCTGCACGGTCAGCTGCCTCTGGGAGGGGAACCTGCTGGGAATGGGACCCTGCTGGGAATGGTCACTGCTGGGAGTGGGATCCTGCTGGGAATGGTCACTGCTGGGAGTGGGATCCTGCTGGGAGTGGGATCCTGCTGGGAGTGGGATCCTGCTGGGAATGGGTCACTGCTGGGAGTGGGTCACTGCTGGGAGTGGGTCACTGCTGGGAGTGGGAACCTGCTGGAATGGGAACCTGCTGGGAAGGGTCACTGCTAGGAAGGATCACTGCTGGGAGTGGGTTCCTTCTGGGAATGGCTCACTGCTGGCCGTGGTCACTGCTGGGAAGGGCTTCCTGCTCCCCCTCCTCCCCAGGCAGCAGCAGAGGGGAGGGAGTTTGGATTTTCATTCCATTTTCCAGCCAGGTTTCAACTGGCACCTCCAAATTCCTTGCCTGGCCTGGGACACTCCCTGAGCTGCCAGGCTGGGAATGTGCAGGAGGGAAAAACGTGGGTTGGGGGCTGATTTTTGGGATTTGTGCCGTGGGTTGGGGCTGATTTTTGGGATTTGTGCCATGGGTTGGGGCTGATTTTTGGGATTTGTGCCATAGGTTGGGGCTGTTTTTTGGGATTTGTGCCATGGGGCTGTTTTTTGGGATTTGTCACTTTGGATTGGGCGCTGATTTTTGGGATTGTTGCCTTGCAGGGAAGCCCAAGCTGGGCAGGGAGCTGGGCCGAGGCCAGTACGGGGTGGTGTACCTGTGTGACAGCTGGGGGGGACACTTCCCCTGCGCCCTCAAATCCGTGGTCCCTCCGGATGAGAAGCACTGGAACGACCTGGCACTGGAATTTCACTACATGAGGTCTGTGTGCTGAGTGCTTCCCCCATTCCACAGGGATCTGGTTGATTTCCCAGGGTCATTCAGGCTGGAAAAGCCCCCCAGCCTGTGGCTGATGTCCCCTTTGTCACCCAGCCCAGAGCTCAGAGTGCCACACCCAGGTTTGCTGCAGGAATCTGGGATTGGAGCTCCTGGAATGCTCAGCCAGGGATGCTCCTTCCTGCCTTAATCTGATTCCCTGCCTGTGCTGTCCAAATTCAGAGGAAATTTGAGTTTACAGACCATAATAACCAGCAATTCTCCTCCCCTGATTCCTGGTGGTGAATCCCCTCTCTTTTCCCACTCCTTGTCCTGCCTGAATCCCCAAAAAATCTGCAGTGCAGAGAGCAGCTGGTTTGCAGTAAACAGCTGCAGGCACAGCCAGCTGAGAGAAGAATGGGATTTTTTGTGACTCTAACCTTTAAAAAGGCTTTTTTTTTTTTGAGTTTAATTGGCTCAGACAGCTGAGGATTGTGCTGCTCTGAGCTGTGCTGGGAATTTTTGTTAAATCTGCAGCTCTGGGGCTTCTTCCCTTGGCCTGGGCTAGAGACTGGGGACAAAAATGACCCAAATTTTGTGTGCTGAATCTGCTCCAGGTCCCTGCAGGGACTCAGGGGCCAAAAATTATCCCAATTTTTTTGTGCTAAATCTGTTCCAGGTCCTGCAAGAACTCAGGGGGCAAAAATTATCCCAATTTTTTGTGCTGAATCTTCTGCAGGTCCCTGCAGGGACTCTGGGGCTTCTTCCCTTGGTCTGGGCTGGAGAACAGGGCCAAAAATGACCCAAAATTCCTGTGCTGAATCAGCTCCAGGTTCCCTGCAGGGACTCAGGGGCAAAAAATGACCCAAATTTTGTGTGCTGAACCTTCTGCAGAGATTTTGGGACTTCTTCCCTTGGCCTGGCCTGGAGGTTGGGATAAAAATGACCCAAATTTTGTGTGCTGACCCCTCTGCAGGTCCCTGCAGTCCCACGAGAGGCTGGTGCACCTGCACGGCTCCGTCATTGATTATGGCTATGGAGGAGGCTCCAGCATTGCTGTGCTGCTGATCATGGAGAGGCTGCACAGGGACCTCTACACGGGGCTGAAGGTGCCAAATTCTCTTATTCAGTATTTATTTTGTTTTTATTTTATCCCTGGAAGTGCCAGGACAGAGCTTGGAGCAACCTGGTTTGGTGGGAAGTGTCCCCCTGCCCATGGGATGAGTTTTAATCTCCTTTCCAACCCAAAAGTGATTCTCTAATGAAAAATTCCCCATTAATCCATAAAACAAAGCTGGAATTACTCAATTTTAGTAAAGAAGAGCAGGCCAAAGTAACTTCTAGGTATAAAATCTGAGTTTTCCCCTCAGGCTAAAGCTGGTTTAGTGGGAATGGTCCCTGTCCATGGGATGATTTTTATTCTCTTTCCCAACCCAAAGCTGATTCTCTAATTAAAAAAAAAAAAAACAACCTTAATCTGTAAAACAAAGCTGGAATTATTAAATTTTCAGAGTTTTGGTAAAGAAGAGCAGGCCAAAGTAACTTTTAGGACTAAAATCTGAGTTTTTCCCCTCAGACTAAACCTGGTTTAGTGGGAAGTGTCCCCCTACCCATGGGATGAGTTTTAATCTCTCTTGCAAATCAAAATGGATTCTCTAATTAAAAATTCCCCTTTAATCTGTAAAACAAAGCTGGAATTGCTCCATTTTAGCAAAAAAGAACAGGCCAATGTAACTTTTAGGCATAAAATCTGAGTTTTTCCTCTCAGACTTAACCTGGTTTAGTGGGAAGTGTTCCTGCCCATGGGATGAGTTTTAATCTCCCAACCCCCAAACTGATTCTCTAATTAAAAATTCCCCATTAATCTGAGAAATAAAGCTAGAATTACTCAATTTTAGCAAAGAGGAACAGGCCAAAGTAACTTTTAGGCATAAAATCTGAGTTTTCCCCTCAGACTAAACCTAGTTTAGTGGGAATGGTCCTTGCCCATAGGATGAATTTTAATCTCCTTTCCAACCCAAAACTGATTCTCTAATTAAAAATTCCCCATTAATCTGTAAAACAAAGCTGGAATTGCTGAATTTTGGTAAAGCAGAGCAGGCCAAAGCAACATTTAGCACTAAAATCCACGTTTTTCCCCTCAGGCTGGGCTGGAGCTGGAGCCACGGTTGCAGATTGCGTTGGACGTGGTGGAAGGGATCCGGTACCTGCACAGCCAGGGCTTGGTGCACAGGGATATCAAACTCAAAAACGTCCTGGTGAGGAAAATCCCTGCCTCTGCCTCATCCCAGAGCCTTTTTCGTGGGAAAAAACAAGCTTGAAGTGAGGCAGTAAATTTCTCCACGTGGGATATTTTAAGCTGTGCTGATGTCAGCCACAGGGAGGTTTTGCTGCCTCCTTTCCTGGCTGGAATTCTGGGGCAAAGGGAGCAGGAGCCCCTCACACAGGGCACCATTTAATGCTGGCCAGGGGTTTATATTTATTTAATTATGTACAAAATCACCAACAGGCCCCTGGCTGGGTGATAATTGGCATTGACTCCATGGTTCACAGAAGGCTGATCAATAATCATCTTCATTAAGAAACCCATTGCTTTTGTAGACAAAAATGTAGTTAGGATACAGCTGGACCTCACTGGTCCTCCAATCCAAGCACCATCTCCACTGGCTAATTAAGAAACCACACTTTGGTAAACAAATCTCCATTTTACACATTTTACGTGTTCACAACAACAGGTGCAGCAAGTTAAAATAAGAATTGTTTCTCATTCTTTTCTCTGATCTTCAGCTGAACTTTCTGCACAGATTTTGGGGCTTCTTCCCATGGCCTGAGCTGGAGAACAGGGCCAAAAATGACCCAAATTTTCTGTACTGAACCTTCTGCAGAGATTTTGGGGCTTCTTCCCTTGGCCTGAGCTGGAGAACAGGGCCAAAAATGACCCAAATATTCTCTGCTGAATATTCTGCCAGTCCCTGCAGGGACTCAGGGGCCAAAAATGACCCAAATTTTCTGTGCTGAACCTTCTGCAGAGGAAGGACAGTGCCTGGCACAGCTGTGTGTTGCTCTCTGTGACCAGACAGCTGCTGCCACAGAACATCTCAAGCTGTTTAGTTTCCAGCATCAGTCTCATTTCATGGTGATGACAATAACCAGAAAAAAATGTATTAAAATTTAGTTTTTTTCGCAAAACCAGCACAATATCAAAAATCAATATTTTATGGGAGAAACGGAGTCCTCACCTGCCTGCCTGTGGCTTTTTCCCCAGCTGGACAAAAAGAACAGGGCCAAAATCACAGATTTGGGGTTCTGCAAACCCGAGGCGATGATGTCTGGCAGCATCGTGGGCACCCCCATCCACATGGCTCCCGAGCTCTTCACAGGTAGGATCCCCCTGATCCCTGCTCTGCCTGGAATTCTGAAGCAATTCCTTGGAATTCATCTCTCAGTCGCTCCTGAGAGCATTCCAACCCCAGGCAATTCCCTGCTTTCCATGCGTGCCCTGGATTTTTCCTGTGTTTGAAGTGCCACTCTTGACAGAGGATAATGGGGTTGGTCAGCTCTGCTGAGGTAATTAACGCCCTTGCAATTAGAAAGGCAAATTATCATTAGGAGGAAGCTGGAAATCCTTGGATTTCATAGGGAAATACTCCAGGAAGGATTCCCTGGAAGGAATTCCCAAGCTGGTCCTACCTTGGAGTGAGTTTGGATTCTCAGGGAATTCTGGCAGCTGCTCCGAGGGTTTTTCCTGAGTTTTGGAGCCACTTGGAAGTTCCAATCCCACTTATCCCAATCCTTTTGGTCTGCCAGAGCTGCTCCTGCTTGGATAAGGTTGGGCTCCAATGGAAGCATCTCTGTTGGTGTGGATTTAGGGGATATCTGGGATATTTCTGGGATGAGAGGCTGATGTTTGGCTGTGACAGAGCTGAGCCTCACAGGTGTTGGTGTTAAAAACACACCTGAGCTCAGTTTGGAATTCCTGGTACAGCTTAAATTTATAAATCCAGGGAATTGGAGCAGCTTAGCCTTGATCCCAGCTCCTGCTGCCTTCCTGGGTTTCACACAAGTTTTGCCTTCCTGCTGTGAAATTGAGGTTCAGGTGTGGGGAAGTGGGAGCCTGGAATCACCTCTCAGCCTGCCCAGCTCCCAGGGATTTTCCCCTGCTGATCCCACCTTTTTTTTTCCCAGGGAAATACGACAATTCCGTGGATGTTTATGCCTTTGGGATCCTGTTCTGGTACCTCTGCTCGGGCCATGTGAAGTTACCTGAGGCTTTTGAGAGGTGTGCCAGCAAAGATCACCTGTGGAACAACGTCAGGAGAGGTACCTGGCCTTGGCTCAGCTCTGAAACGCCTGGGGGGGTGGGAAAATCCGGTTTTGTTCTGGTGGTGGAGAGGTGAAAGGTAAAAATCCCAGAATCCCTGAAGTTGGAAAAGATTTCTGGGATGGAGTCCAAGCAGTCCCTCCCTGGGAGGGGCTGGGATGGAATTCCCAGAGGAGCTGTGGCTGCTCCATCCCTGGGAGTGTCCCAGGCTTGGTTGGACAGTGGATAAAGTGAATAAAATGGATAAAATAGGACAAAAATGATCAAAAGGCACCCTGGGATGGGGGGAGGTGTCCCTGCCCATGGCACTGGGTGATCCCTTCAAACCCAACCCATTCCAGGATTCCATTAAAAAATCCCAATTTCAGGACTCCTGGCTCATTCCCAGCTTGCAAATTCCCACAGGATCCGTGGCTGCCCCATCTCTAGAAATGCCCTAGGCCAGGTTGGAGAGTGGATAAGAAGGATAAAATGGATAAAAAGGATAAAATGGATAAAAATGATAAAATAGGACAAAAATGATCAAAAGGCACCCTGGGATGGGGGGAGGTGTCCCTGCCCATGGCACTGGGTGATCCCTTCAAACCCAACCCATTCCAGGATTCCATTAAAAAATCCCAATTTCAGGACTCCTGGCTCATTCCCAGCTTGCAAATTCCCACAGGATCCGTGGCTGCCCCATCTCTAGAAATGCCCTAGGCCAGGTTGGAGAGTGGATAAGAAGGATAAAATGGATAAAAAGGATAAAATGGATAAAAATGATAAAATGGCAGCATGGGATGGTGGGAGGTGTCCCTGCCCATGGGGTTGGATGATCCCTCCCAACCCAACCCATTCCAGCATTCCCTGGGCTGGTTTGAATGGGATATTGGGAATAAATCCTTCCCTGGGAGGGGCTGGGATGGAATTCCCAGAGAATCCATGGCTGCCTCACCCTTAGCAGTGCCCCAGGCCAGGTTGGAGCAGCCTGGGATAGAGAAAAGAGTGGATCTCCTGATCCCTTCCAACCCAAATATTCCAGGATTCCCTGTGCTGGTTTGGATGGGGTATTGGGAATAAATCCTTCCCTGAAATTCCCAGAGAATCCATGGCTGCTCCTGGATCCCTGGGAGTGTCCCAGGCCAGGCTGGAGCAGCCTGGGATGGGGAAGGTCCCTGCCCATGGAATGGGATGAGCTCAAGGTCCCTCCCAGCCCAGCACAGCCCAGTGTTCCAGTCCATGATTCCATGGATTTGGCCACCCTCTGGAAGTGTGCACCAGTGCCCTCAGCCTTGGCAGCACTGCTGGAATGTGCCCCTTTCCCAGGAGCTCCAGACCCCACCCAGCCCCTCCACCTGCTTTCCTTGGGAATTCCTGGCATTCCAGGTGATCCTGGAATCAGGATCCTGTGATCCTGGTTGGTGATCGCAACCCCTCCACCTGTTTTCCTTGGATGTGAGTGCCAGGCAGGGCTTTCTCTGGAAATTCCTGACATTCCTGGAATTCCTGTGCCACCCAACCCCTCCAGCTGCTTTCCTTGGAAATTCCTGGCATTCCTGGAGATCCCAGTGTGCCACCCAACCCCTCCAGGTGCTTTCCTTGGATGTGAGCAGGGCTTTCCTTGGAAATTCCTGGTGATCCCCTGTGCCACCCAACCCCTCCACTTGCTTTCCTTGGAAATTCCTGGCATTCCTGGTGATGCCCTGTGCCCCCCAACCCCTCCACCTGCTTTCCCTGGATGTTGGCATGGATCAGGGCTTTCCCTGGAAGCCCTGGCGTTCCCGGTGATCCCGCTGTGTTTCCAGGGGTGCGTCCGGAGCGGCTCCCGGTGTTTGACGAGGAATGCTGGCAGCTGATGGAAGCCTGCTGGGACGGGGACTCCTCCCAGCGGCCTCTCCTGGGAATCGTGCAGCCCATGCTCCAGGGAATCATGGACAGGCTCTGCCGGGCCGCCTCCGAGCATCCCAACAAAGGCCTGGATGACTCCACCTGAGCGGGAGCTGCGGCAGGATTCGGGAATTGCGGCGGGATTTTGGCAGTTCCAGCCCCGCCTCTGCCGTGGAGCTGCGAGCCAGCCCCGAGGGGGGACAGGGAGGAGCTCAGGGGGTGACAGCTCCATCCCAATCCCTGTTATCCCTGTGGAATTGTATGGGACAGGGGGGTGACAGCTCCATCCCAATCCCACCCTGTTATCCCTATGGAATTTTGTGGGACAGGGGGGTGACAGCTCCATCCCAATCCCTGTTATCCCTATGGAATTGTATGGGACAGGGGGGTGACAGCTCCATCCCAATCCCTGTTCTCCCTATGGAATTGAGGGATGGAAAACCCAAACCCTTCGGGCTCACGGGGGGGCTTTACCAAACCCACCCCAAACCTTGGGATGGGAAAATCCCTTCCCAAAACCCCAGGAGAACCATCCTGCTCCTCCCTCTGCCGCTGGCAGCAATTCCAGAGCGCTTGGAGAGGAAGGAAAAGGCACCAAACTTTAGGATAAGGAAGTGTTGGGAAGCTCCAAGGAGCTGGAAATGTTTACATGGACAGGAGCAAAGCTTCCGTGTTTTTTTCTATGGGGACTTGGAAAACCCCACCTGGATAAGCTATTGATCCCTAATCCCACCTTTTCCTCCTCTTTTTCCCCTCTCCTTTGCTTCCTTCAATTTCTTGGAATGGCTGGAGAAACCTTCCCTTGCTTCCACGCTGCATTCCTCAGAGGTTCAGCTTTGTAGCAGCACAAAAAGTCCTTCAAATGATTGATTTTTCCATGGGGGAAAGTGCCAAAATTCCTTTAAAATCAGGATTTGGGGCTTGGAATTCATGGGATTGTCGTGGCAGTTTTACATTGGGCTGAGTTTGCACAGGAATATTTTTAAAAAATGAGGATTTTCCAGCTGTTTTTTTCCAAGTTGGATGGGAAGAAAGATCCTTCCTTCTTCCCCTCACTTTCACTCCAGGGCTGGAATTTGTTTGGAAAGAATAAAAAAAAAATGGGGATAGGGGAGAGTGGGATCCTGGGCAAGGTTCTTTCCCAAATTCCTGGAAATCCCAGTTTGCTTCCTGCATTTTTGGGGTGGAATTGGGCTGATCTGGAGCAGGAAACGCCCCTGGGTGGCTCCGTGAGGAACTGAGGAGTTGGGAATTCTCCCTGGAGTTCCCAGGGAAGGTGGAATTCCTTGGCTGAAATTCCAGCTGCCCCTGGCCGAGGATGGCTTTAGTGGGAATCTTTTCCTTTCTTTGTGCAATAAAATGGATTCAGGAGCTTTTTATGGAGGAAAAAAAAAAAAAAAAGGTTTTTTTGTTTCTTTTCTGCAGATGGAGGAAAAAAAAAAAAAAAAAAAAGCTTTTTTTGTTTCTTTTCTGCACCCGTGGGGGATGTGCTGGAATTCCCAGCGGGATGGGGATGGATCCAACCCCTCCTGCCATTCCAGAGTGGGAATTTAATGGATCCAACCCCTCCTGCCATTCCAGAGTGGGAATTTAATGGATCCAACCCCTCCTGCCATTCCAGAGTTAGTTGTTTATGGATCCAACCCCTCCTACCATTCCAGAGTGAGTTTTTTATGGATCCAACCCCTCCTACCATTCCAGAGTGAGTTTTTTATGGATCCAATTCCTGTTCTGGCATTCCAGAGTGGATTTGGATGGATCCAACTCCTCCTGCCATTTTCAGAGTGGGGTTTTTATGGATCCAGCTCCTGCTCTGCCATTCCAGAGTGGGAATTTCATGGATTTAACCTCTCCTGCCATTTCCAGAGTGAGCTTTTTACGGATCCAATTCCTACTCTGCCATTCCAGAGTGGATTTTTTATGGATCCAGTCCTTGTTCTGCCATTCCAGAGTGAGTTTTTTATGGATCCAGTCCCTGTTTTGGCATTCCCAGAGTAGATTTGGATGGATCCAACTTTTCCTGCCATTCCCAGAGTGGGGTTTTTATGGATCCATCCTCTGTCCTGGCAGTCCCAGCGTGGATTAGATGGATCCAATCCCTGTTCTGGCATTCCAGAGTGGATTTGTGTAGATCCTCTGGAAAAGTGGGAATGGCCTCGGGAAAAACCTTTGGAAAAGTGAGAATGATCCTTTGGGAAAAGCCCTGGAAAAGCGGGAATGGCCCTCAGGGAAAAGCTCTGGAAATTTGGGAATGACCTTCGGGCAAACCCCTGGAAAAGCGGGAATGGCTCTGAGGAAAAAGCCCTGGAAAAGCGGGAATGGCCTCGGGATGGCGCTGGAGGAGCGGGGATGACGAAGGGGGATGAAGGCCGAGCTCTGTGCCTGCGGTTCCCCCCCACGGTTCCCTGCTGGGATTTTGGGAATTTCCCTGTGGAATTTTTGGCGGGGATTTTGGGGTGCAATGTGGGAATCTCCAGGGTGTCCCAAGTTTATTTGCTGTGCATGCCTGGAGTTGGTGTTGGGAGAGGCCACAGATTTTTATGACTCATCAGGGTTTATTTTATTTTATTTTATTTTATTTTATTTTATTTTATTTTATTTTATTTTATTTTATTTTATTTTTAATTTAATTTTTAAAAATTATTTTATTTTCCCTCTGGTTCTATTATTTTTCATTTTAATTTTTTAATTTTAATTTTTCTTTGTTTTTAAATATTTTGTTATATACATTTTCAGTATTTTATTTTATGTTTTATATTTTTTAAATTTTTTATTTTATTTCCTTTTATTTTCTTTCCTTTTATTTTATTTTTTCTTTCCTTTTTTCCAAAAGCAGCCAGTCCTTTCCAGCAGAAATCCAGGCAATACCGGCAAGGGCCCAGCCTCCCCCTGGTGTTTTAGTTAATTATTAGAATAAGAATGATTTTAATTAACTTAATTATTGGTGCTACTTTATTACCGCTCCCCCTCCCCGGAACCTTTCTGCGCGGCCGCGGGGCCCACCCGGCCCCTTCCTCGCGCCGCGCAGGGGCTGCCCGCCGCGCTGCCTGATCGCCGCCGCCCAATCCCGGCCCCGCCGCCGCGCCGGGAGCGAGCGGCGCCGCTCCCCGAGCCCGCCGGGAGGGGCGGGTGGAGTCGGCCCGGGAGGCGCCGGGAGCCGAGTCAGGAGCGGGGGAAAGGAGCGGCGGTTGGTCAGGCGAACGGCGAGCGCGGCGCCGGGCAGGCCCCCGCGGGGTCCTTCGGCGACGGGAGCGGAGGGAGCGGGATCGGCGGCGCGATGAACCTGGAGCTGCTCGGTGCGGGCGGGAGCGGGAGCGGGAATGGGAGCGGGAATGGGAGCGGGAGCGGGAATGGGAACGGGAATGGGAGCGGGAGCGGGAGTGGGAGCGGGAGTGGGAGCGGGGCGCTGCGGGAATGGCAGCGGAGAGGGAACGAGGGACGGCGGGGGCGGGACGGCGGCGCCACGAACCTGGAGCTGCTCGGTGCGAACGGAGCGGGGGAGGCGCGGCTGGGAACGGGAGCGGGAATGGGAACGGGAGCGGGGCTGGGCTGGAGCCGGGAGCGGCGGCACCGGGAATGGCCCGCGGGGTACCGGTACCGGAGCGGGGCGGGCTCGGCGGGGCCGCCTGTCGCTCAGCGCCGCTTTCCCGTTCCCCGCAGAGTCCTTCGGCCAGAACTACCCCGAGGTAACGGCGCTGCCCGCCCGGCCGGCCCCGAGGCTGCCCCGGCGGGAGCGGCCCCGGCGGGACCGGGCGGGACTGGCTGGGTTTAAGCGGGGCTTAACTGGGTCTGAGCGGGTGTCACCGGGTGTCACTGGGTGTGATGGGCCCTGCCCCGACACCGTCCCTGCACTGTGCCCAGACTGTCCCTGTGCTGTCCCCAAACTGTGCCACACTGCTCACACTGCCTGTGCTGTCCTGGGGCTGTCCCTGTGCTGTCCCCACACTGCCCACACTGTCCCCACGCTCTTCCCAAGGCTCTGCGCTGTCCTCACACTGTCCCTGCGCTGTCCCTGCCCTGCCTCGGTGCTGTCACTGCACTGTCCCGGTGCTGTCACCGTGCTGTCCCCCATGCTGTCCTGGCACTGTCCCCGCTCTGTCCCCACTCTGTCCTGGCACTATCCCCACGTTGTCCCCACACTGTCCCTCAACTGTCCTGCACTGTCCCCACACTGCTCACGCTGTCCCCGTGCTGTCCTGGGGCTGTCCCTGTGCTGTCCCCACACTGCCCACACTGTCCCCACGCTCTTCCCAAGGCTCTGCGCTGTCCTCACACTGTCCCTGCGCTGTCCCTGCCCTGCCTCGGTGCTGTCACTGCACTGTCCCGGTGCTGTCACCGTGCTGTCCCGGCACTGTCCCCGCTCTGTCCCCACTCTGTCCTGGCACTATCCCCACGTTGTCCCCACACTGTCCCTCAACTGTCCTGCACTGTCCCCACACTGCTCACGCTGTCCCCGTGGTGTCCTGGCACTGTCCCACACTGTCCCCACTCTGTCCTGGCACTATCCCCACACTGCCTGCGTTGTCCCCACGCTGTCCCTGCTGTCCCCGCCCGTGTCCCCGCAGTGTCCCGGTGGTGTCCCCACGCTGTCCCCACACTGTGCCCGCTCTGTCCCCATGGTGTCCCCACGGTGTCCCCGCTGTCCCGCAGGAGGCCGACGGCACTCTGGACTGTATCAGCATGGCGCTGACGTGCACCTTCAACCGCTGGGGCACGCTGCTGGCCGTGGGCTGCAACGACGGCCGCATCGTCATCTGGGACTTCCTGACGCGCGGCATCGCCAAGATCATCAGCGCCCTGGCTCTGCTGAAGCTCTTTAAGGAATAACTTTGTCGGGATTTCCCTCCCTGTGCCGCAGCTGGAGCCGGGACGGGCACAAGCTGGTCAGCGCCTCCACGGATAACATCGTGTCCCAGTGGGATGTGCTGTCCGGGGACTGTGACCAGAGGTTCCGCTTCCCCTCGCCCATCCTCAAAGTCCAGTACCACCCCCGGGACCAGTGAGTGCCCTGGGAGGGGACTGGGCTGCTCCCCCCGGCGTGGAGCCGCTGCTTTTGGGGTGTTCTTTACGTTTTCCAATGGAATTGTTGGGTCTGGTTGGGGTTGGGTTTTTGGGAGGGTCAGGATGGGAGGGAACGCTTGGAAATCAGAGTGGGAATGTGTCCTTGCGTTTGAAATTCCTGCACAAACTCGGAGAAGGAAAGGAAATTAAAGTAGATCTGAACTGCTCATCATTTTGCTGTCTAAGTACTAAAGACAACAAAAATAGAAATAGTCTGCATTCCTTGATCCAGCTCAGTTGCTGGAATCCCTTCTCTGAGATCTCCTGAATTTCTCAATCCAGCTCGATGCTTTTTTTGCTGGAAATCCTTTTCCAAGGTCTCCTGAATTCCTCAGTCCAGCTTGACTTTTTTTTTTTTTTCTGGGAATCCTTTTCCAAGATATTCCTTGATCCAGCTCAATGCTTTTTTTTGCTGGAAATCCTTTTCCAAGGTCTCCTGAATTCCTCAGTCCAGCTTGACTTTTTTTTTTTTTCTGGAAATCCTTTTTTTTTTAAGATACTCCACGATCCCCCTCCATGCTTTTTTAGCCCTAACCATGGAAACCCTCCCAGGATCTCCTGAATTCCTCAATCCACCTCAATTTTTTTTTTTTCCTGGAAATCCTTTATTTTCTAAGATACTCCACGATCCACCTCCATGCTTTTTTAGCTCTAACCATGGAAACCCTTCCCAAGACCTGAATTCCTCAATCCAGTTCAATGTTTTTTAGCTCTAACCATGGAAACCCTCCCAAGATCTCCTGAATTCCTCAATCCAGTTCAATGTTTTTTAGCTCTAACCATGGAAACCCTCCCCAAGATCTCCTGAATTCCTTGACCCAGCTTGGTGTTTTTTAGCTCTAACCATGGAAACCCTCCTCAAGATCTCCTGAATTCCTCAATCCAGTTCAATATTTTTTAGCTCTAATAACGGAAACATTTTCCAAGATCTGAATTCCTCGATCCACCTGGATGTTTTTTTGCTCTAACCATGGAAGCCCTTCCCAAAGGCAGGAGCTCCCACCTTCCCCCGTGTTGCAGGAACAGGGTGCTGGTGTGTCCCATGAAGTCGGCCCCGGTGATGCTGACCCTGTCTGACTCCAAGCACGTGGTGCTGCCCGTGGACGACGACTCCGACCTCAACGTGGTGGCCTCGTTTGACCGGCGAGGGGAATACATCTACACCGGGAACGCCAAGGGCAAGGTCAGCCCCCTCCCTGCCCGGGGCACTGGGCATTCCTGGCTGCCCCCAGGGCAGGGCCAGGCTGGGCAGCAGTGGGAATTTCCTGTGGAAAAGGGGGGGATCAGGCTTTGGAAGTGCCCAGCGGGGTTTGGGGTCTGCGTCTCTGGAGGTGGCACTGAGTGCTCCAGGTGGGGATTGGGCACCTCGATGGGTGAGGGGCACGGGGAGGGGTTTGGGGAGCAGGGAGGGACACAGGAATAGATTTGGGGAACAGGTGAGGGGCACAGGGAGGGGTTTGGGGAGCAGTGAGGGGCACAGGGATGGGTTTGGGGAGCAGTGAGGAGCACAGGGAGGGGTTTGGGGAGCAGTGAGGGGCACAGGGATGGGTTTGGGGAGCAGGGAGGGGCACAGGGAGGGGTTTGGGGAGCAGTGAGGAGCACAGGGAGGGGTTTGGGGAGCAGGGAGGGGCACAGGGATGGGTTTGGGGAGCAGGGAGGGACACAGGGAGGGGTTTGGGGAGCAGTGAGGGGCATGGGGAGGGGTTTGGGGAACAGGAAAGGGGCATAGGAATGGGTTTGGGAAAAAGGTGAGGGCTACAGGGGATGGGTTTGGGGAGCAGGAATAGATTTGTGAAACAGAGACAGTCCCAGGTTTGGGTTTGGGAACAGGAATGGTTTTGGAGAACAGGTGTGGAGTGTAGGGATGAGTTTGGGGAACAGGAATAGGTTTGGGGAACAGGTGAGGGGCACAGGGATGAGTTTGGGGAGCAGTGAGGGGTACAGGGAGGGATTTAGGCAACAGGAATGGATTTGGGGCACAGGGATGAATTTGAGGAACAGGAATAGATTTGGGGAACAGGTGAGGTGCACAGGGAGGGATTTGAGGAACAGGAATAGATTTGGGGAAAAGGTGAGGGGCACAGGGATGGGTTTGGGGAACAGGGACAGGCACAGGGATGGGTTTGGGTGAAGACAGGTGTAGAGATGGCTGCAGGGTTTGGGGAACAGGAGAGGGATTGCTTGAGGATCCTGGAGGGGTTTTCCAACCTCAGGGGTTCTGGGATCTTTGTCTGACTCTGTTTTTGGCACATTTTTGGGATGTTTTCCTGGCATTTCTGTCTCAGCAGCTCCTGCAGTGTCCCCGGGTGGGCTCCCAGGGTTCTGTTTCAGGTGAAGCCACTGATTGTTCTCTGTCTGCTCAATCTTCAGATCTTGGTCTTAAAAACAGACACTCAGGATCTTGTTGCTTCCTTCAGAGTGACCACAGGGACCAGCAACACCACGGCCATTAAATCCATTGAGTTCGCCCGCAAAGGGAGGTGAGCGCCCCGGGGGGATCCCAAAACTGCAGAGGGCTCCTCAAACCCCCCCCAGTTCTTCCACAGGCCAGGATTTGTAATTGATTGATTGATCGATCGATTGGTTTTTCATTGATTTTTTTCCCCCCTGTTTTGCTGCAGCTGCTTCCTGATCAACACGGCCGACCGGATCATCCGCGTGTACGACGGGCGGGAGATCCTCACCTGCGGCCGCGACGGCGAGCCCGAGCCCATGCAGAAACTGCAGGACCTGGTCAACAGGTGGGGACAGCCTGGGGACAGCCTGGGGACACGGCTGGGGACAGGGCAGGGCCTGGGGACAGGGCAGGGCCTGGTCAACAGGTGGGAACAGCCTGGGGACAGAGCAGGGGACTGGGCAGGGCCTGGGGACAGGGCAGGGGCATGGGGACAGGTGGGGACAGCCTGGGGACAGGGCAGGACCTGGTCAACAGGTGGGGACAGCCTGGGGACAGGAGATGGGTGGGGACAGCCTGGGGACATGGCTGGGGACAGGGCAGGGGCATGGGGACAGGTGGGGACAGGAGACGAGCAGGACCCCCTGGAAGAAGTGCTGCTTCTTGGGGGACAGACATAAAGCTTAAATATTAATAATAATAATAATAATAATGATGATGATGATGATGATGATAATTATCTTAAATATAAAAGCGGCCCAGAATTTGAAAAATATAAAAGCTAAAGCTGAGCCATCCCTCCCCTGTCTCCCTGGCTGCAGGACCCCCTGGAAGAAGTGCTGCTTCTCGGGGGACGGCGAGTACATCGTGGCGGGCTCGGCGCGGCAGCACGCGCTCTACATCTGGGAGAAGAGCATCGGCAACCTGGTGAAGATCCTGCACGGCACCCGCGGCGAGCTGCTCCTGGACGTGGCAGTGAGGAGCCCCCCAGCCCCTGGGCTTCCTTGGGATTTGGGAATTCAGCTGTGGCAATTCCTAACGTTTGCTAATTAAGGGTTTGCCGTTTGTTTTTGTCTCCTCGTTGGCGCCGCCTGTTAATTGCAGTGGCACCCGGTGCGGCCCATCATCGCCTCCATCTCCAGCGGGGTGGTTTCCATATGGGCTCAGAACCAAGTGGTGAGTCAGGGTTTGGGGTCATTCCCTTGGGAATAGGGTCTGGAACAGGCTTGTTCCATCCCTGGAAGTGTCCCAGGCCGGGTTGGGGTAATCTGGGAAAGGGAGAGGTGTGGAGCTGGTGATCCCTTCCAACCCAAACCAGTCCAGGATTTCACCCAAACCAGTCCAGGATTTCTTGGGCTCAGAACCAAGTGGTGAGCCAGGGTTTGGGGTGATTCCCTTGGGAATAGGGTCTGGAACGCGCAGTGGCACCCGGTGCGGCCCATCATCGCCTCCATCTCCAGCGGGGTGGTTTCCATATGGGCTCAGAACCAAGTGGTGAGTCAGGGTTTGGGGTCATTCCCTTGGGAATAGGGTCTGGAACAGGCTTGTCCAGGGAAATTTTGGCTGTTCCATCCCTGGAAGTGTCCCAGGTCAGGTTGGGGTAATCTGGGATGGGGAGAAGTGTGGAGCTGCTGATCCCTTCCAACCCAAACCAGTCCAGGATTTCTTGGGCTGGTCTGGGTGGGATATTTGGAATAAATCCTTCCCTGGGAGGGGCTGGGATGGAATTCCCAGAGGAGCTGTGGCTGCTCCCTCGCTGGGAGTGTCCCAGGTCAGGTTAGACAGTGGATCAAATGGAAAAAAATGGGTAAAAAGGGTAAAAAGGCACCCTGGGATGGGGGGTGGTGTCCCTGCCCATGGGACTGGGTGATCCCTTCCAACCCAACCCATTCCAGGATTCCATAAAAAACCCCAATTTCAGGACTCCTGACTCATTCCCAGCCTGTGAATTCCCACAGGATCCGTGGCTGCCCCATCCCTGGGAGTGTCCTAGGCCAGGTTGGAGAGTGGATAAAAAGGATAAAATGGATAAAATGGATCAAATGGATCAAATGGCAGCCTGGGATAGTGGGAGGTGTCCCTGCCCATGGCACTGGATGATCCCTTCCATCCCAACCCATCCCAGCATTCCCTGGGCTGCTTTGGGTGGGATATTGGGAATAAATCCCTCCCTGGAATTCCCAGGGAATCCGTGGCTGCCCCTGGATCCCTGGGAGCCCCCAAGGCTGGATGGGGTTTGGAGCACCCTGGGACCACGGGGTGGGAATGGGCTGATCCTTAGGATCTTCCAACCCAAACCATTCCAGGATTCTGTGAAAAGTCCCAATTTCAGCACTCCAGACTCATTCCCAGCCTGCAAATTCCCACAGAATCCGTGGCTGCCCCATCCCTAGCCTGTCCCAGGCCAGGTTGGGTTATGGATAAAATGATGAAAATGTTTGAAAAGGATAAAAAGGCTAAAAGGTTTAGTGGATAAAAAGGTTAAAATGGATAAAATGGGTACAATGGCAGCCTGGGATAGTGCAGGGTGTCCCTGCCCGTGGAACGGGATGAGATTTAAGCTCCCTTTCCACCCAATCCCATCTGGAATTCCATAATTCCCCGTGGACTCAATTTTTTTGTGTCAAACTCCTTGATGAGGTCCCATTCCAGCTCATTTTTGTGCTTTCCTGCTTCATTTTGAGCCATGATTTTGAGCTCAAAACTCCAGCTCAGCTGTGGGTTCATCCTTAAGCTCCATCCCAGGGACATTTTCCATGGAATTGTCCCCTCCTTTAATTCAAGAGTGATCCAGGTGGATGGGGATTCCTTGATTTTTTTAATGCTTTTATGGGAATTTCCTCAATTTTGGCTGCTTTTATGGGATTTTCCTCAATTTTTGCTGCTTTTATGGGATTTTCCTTGATTTTTTAAATGCTTTTATTGAATTTCAACGAGAGTGCAGATCCACAAAATAATTCCCCAATTCCAGCCATCCCCACCTCTTCCCCTTGCCACATCCATCTTTTAAACCCCTCCAGGATATTTAATTCCTCAAAATTCCAGGAATCCAAGGAATCCAGTGCTGTTTATTTATATTAAAACTGCTTTTTTAATGATTTTTTTCAGGAAAACTGGAGCGCTTTTGCCCCTGATTTCAAGGAGTTGGATGAAAATGTGGAATATGAGGAGAGGGAATCAGAATTTGACATCGAGGATGAGGATAAGAGCGAGCCAGAGCAGACAGGTGCTGCCCAAAAAATTCCCCAAAAATTCTCCAAAAATTCCCAAAAAATCCCAGGGAATTCCCAAACCTCCCTGGGACCCTCCCTGGCCACGTGGTGGTGCCCAAAATCCAGGAGAAAAAAAACCCAAAAATCCTGGAATGTGAAAAATGATGGGAATGAGAATTATTCCTCGTTAATGCTTCCTATTAAAGCACTCCCCATAATTTAATTAATTGGATTTTAGCAGTGTTTTAATATTAATTATTTTAGGGTTATTTTCTGTTTTAAGGGGAAATATTTTAGATTTATTTTGTGCTGTAATAAAATGGTTTAGGTTTGTTTTGTGCTTTAATAGGAATTATTTTAGGCTATTGTGTTTTAAAATATTTTAGATTTTTTTTTTTTGTGCTTTAATAAGAAATATTTTCAATTTATTTTCTACTTTAATAGGAAATATTTTAGGAGTTTTTTGTGCTTTAATATGAGTTATTTTATTTTAGGTCTGTTTTGTGTTTTATTAAGAATATCTTAGATTTGTTTTTTGCTTTAATGGGATGAATTTAAGTTTGTTTTATGCTTTAATATTAATTATTTTCCTTTTTTTTTGCTTTTATAGGAAATATTTTAGAATTGTTTTATGCTTTAATACTAATTATTTTTAAGGTCTTTTTAATGTTATGGGAAATATTTTAGATTTGTTTTTTGCTTGAATGGGAACTATTTAAGTTTGTGCTTTTAATATGAATTATTTTAGGCTTGTTTTTGCTATAACAGGAAATATTTTAGATTTCTTTTTGCTTTAATAGGAAATATTTAAGTTTGTTTTGTGCTTTAATATGAATTATTTTAGGCTTGTTTTGTGCTATAGCAGGAAATATTTTAGATTTCTTTTTGCTTTAATAGGAAATATTTAAGTTTGTTTTGTGCTTTAATATGAATTATTTTAGGCTTGTTTTGTGCTTTAATTTGAATTATTTTGGGCTCGTTTTGTGCCATAGCAGGAAATATTTTCGTGGGGTTTTTTAGGGTTTTTCCTGCAGTGACAGGAAATTCTCCAGGCTGTTTTTTGCAGCACTCCAGGTGTTTTTCCTGCCTCTAATTCCCGTTTTTCCCGGTGCCAGGCGCAGACGCTGCAGAGGATGAGGAGGTGGACGTGACCAGCGTGGATCCCATCGCTGCCTTCTGCAGCAGGTGCTGGGCCCTGCAGGCAAACCCTGAACCTCGTTAAGGGGCACTAATTAACCTCCCAGAGCACAGAACTAATTAACCTCCCACAGCATTCCCTTTAAACGTTCCCTTCATCATCCACAACGTTCCTGTTACAAACCCCGACATTCCCTTTAAACATTCCCTTTAAAAAACACAACGTTCCCGTTCCAAAACCCAAAATTCCCATCCCAAAACCCAGAATTCCTCTCCCAAGGGTTTTGGAGCATTTGGAGGGAACTGATCCCAAAGGTTTTGGGGCATTGGGCAGGATCTGATCCTGAGGATTTTGGGGCATTTGGCAGGATCTCATCCTGAGGATTTTGGGGCGTTGTGAGGGATCTGATCCAGCATTTCAGGGTTTTAGGGCATTGGGAGGGAACTGATCCCAAGATTTCAGAGTTTCCACTCACCCCAAACCCCCAATTCCACCCCAATCCCCCCCAATTCCCCCCTGCAGAGGTGCACCCGCTGCTGGGCGTGAAGGGCGACGGTAAATCCAAGAAGAAGCAAGCGGGCAGGCCCAAAGGATCAAAAGGTAAAGACAAAGATTCTCCATTTAAACCGAAACTCTACAAAGGGGACAGAGGTTCTTTACCTCTGGAAGGAGCAGCCAAGGGTAAAGTGCAGGCGGAGCTGGGCCAGCCCCTGACAGGTAAGGACCAGTGTCACCTCCCTGGTGGCCTTGCTTTGTCACCCCCGATCCTTAGAGGTCTCTGTAGCATCCCAAAAATCCTCCCTCCCCGCTCAGCTGCAGCCAAGGAGAGGCAAAATTGGATTTTTTGGCAGTGTTGGAGTGGGGAAATTGGAATAAAATCGAGTTCTGCGCATGGGAAAATGGGGCGGGGGGTGATTTTTGTGGAGGGGTGTGTGGTGTTGAGGTGGTCCTCAATTGAAATTATTTTAATTGGTTTGATTGTTTCCCTCAGCTCTGCAGAAATAAGGAAATTTTTTGGTTGATTTTGGGGGAATGATGAAGGATTCTGCAGATTTGTGGTGCTGAGCTGTTCCTAAATTAATTTTTTTTTAGTTGTTTTAATTCATTCCCTCAGCTCGTGCAGAAATAAGGAAATATTTTGGTTGGTTTTGGGGGAATAATGAAGGATTCTGCAGTTTTCTGGATCCTCAGAGCCGGTCCTAAATTCAAATTATTTTAATTTATTTAATTCCTTGAATTCCTTCCCTCAGCTCCTGCAGAAACCAGGAAATATTTTTGGGGGAAAAAATGAAGGATTCTGCAGTTTTGTGGTGTTGAGCCGGTCCTAAATTCAAATTATTTTAATTTATTTAATTCCTTGAATTCCTTCCCTCAGCTCCTGCAGAAATCAGGAAATATTTTGGTTGGTTTTGGGGGAATAATGAAGGATTCTGCAGTTTTGTAGATGTTTGGAGCTGGTCCTAATTTATTTGATTTATTGAATTATTTCCCTCAGCTCTCCAGAAATCAGGAAATATTTTGGGGGAAAAATGAAGGATTCCACACTTTCGTGGTGCTGAGGTGTTCCTAAATTCAAATTATTTTAAGTTCTTTAATTCCTTTTAATTCCTTCCCTCACCTCCTGCAGAAATTATAAAATATCCAGGTTTGGAGTTGATTTTTGAGAGAAAACGGGAATAATGAAGGATTCCCCAATTTTGTGGATGCTCAAAGCTGTTCCTAAATCAAAATTCATTTAATTCCTTCAATTCCTTCCCTCAGCTCCTGCAGAAATGATGAAATACCTGGATTTTGGTTGATTTTTGGGGGAAAAAGGAGCATAAAAAATGATTTATTGACAAAAAAAACCCCTGGAATAAAATCCAGGAGCTGCATTTCCTATTCCCAGCTGTGCTGCAGCCCTGGAATCCCAGTTTAATCCCAGTTTAATCCCAGTTTAATCCCAGTTCAAACTCCAGTGGCTGCACAGCAGGAGAAATTTGGGATTTTTCTCCTTCACAATTGCTGCAAATAGGGAAAAATTCAGATTTCCCCCCTTTTTTTTTGCCATATTTTGCTGCTGCCAGAGCAGGACACCTCTGAGACCCAGCCTGAGTCTCAAACATTTCCCATTCTCCAATTTCCTCCGTTTTATTGGAAAATTTCCTCCTTTATTTTTTGGGGAAAAGCTCCTCCAGGCCCAGCACAGAGAGCACAATTTTGGCTGCAATGATGATTTTTTTAACAAAGATTTTAATCCAGAACTCAACCTTGGGATAAACCCAGCTCCAGAGATGGATTTGATGGATCAAATTCTGCATTTCCTTGATTCCAGCAGCCGCTGCTGTGGATTTTAGGAATTTGGGAATTGTTTTAATTCCTTTAATTTATTCCCTTTTTGCCTCCCCTTCCTGCTCAGCTCCTTGGTGTTGCTTGTCCTGATCCTTGTTTTTTTCCAGGAATGGGAATTTTTGATGGGAAAACCTTGGGAATGTTCTCTGGGAATGTTTCCACCTGGAAGAATCCAGGATTGGAGCAGCCAGGAGCATCCTGGGGTTGGGTTTGGGTGGGATTTGCCTCTTGGGAGGGGAATTTTGGGGGATTTTCCAAGATTTTGGGCTGTTTTCAAGGATGGCGCCTGGATCCTCACAGGGCTGGCTTGGAGATGATTAATTTCATGTTAATTATTGCTTTCGTCGCTGCTAATTAATATAATTAACCACAGAAATGAGAAAGAATCATGGCCTGGAAGGTGAAAATTGGGATTTGCAAGGAGAATTCCAATCCTTGGCTTCCAAACAGGGCTGGATCCTTGGATTTCCCATTTTGGAGGGGCTGCTCTCAGAAAAACACTTCAGTTTTTAATCAACACTTAATTTTTAATTACCATTTAATTTTTAATTAACATTTCCTTACTGGGGGGTGCCAACTGTAACTTTGTACTCAGCTGCTGTCCCGAATTCCTGGTTTTCTTTGGAGTCAATTCCTCACTGGGAAATCCCATTCCCAATCCTTCTGGAATGTTCCAGATCCAGCAGCACAGCAGCCAAACTCCTCTCCTGCTTTTTCTGCTTTTCCCCTCTCCTTTTCCAGCCCTGTTTGGAAGGATTTTGGTGCAGATTTGCTGTTGCTGCAGGAAACTCTGGGATTTTACTTCCCTGCAGGAAATTCTGGGATTTATTTCCCTGCTTTTAGGTTGGGATGAGATTCCCGAGCCAATTCCTGGGAATTTGTTTTCCTCAAAAACAGGCTTAGACCCAAATCCCACTGGGTTTTCCCATCAGCTGGAGCTCCCTAAAATCTGCTTGTAGGCTTTGCTGCCTGTGGTACCTTGGGATGAAGGGAAATAGGAAAAAATTCCTGCCTGGAATGGTGAGGAGCTCCCAGAGGAATCCCTGGAAATGTCCAAGGATTGAGGATTTTGGAGCATCCTGGGGTGGTGCCCATGGAATGGGATGGGATTTAAGGTCCTTTCCCACCCAAACCATGACATTCCATGAAAATCCACATTTTCCTGGAATTCCTGAGCTGGGAGGATCCAGCAGATTCCCAGTGCTGGAATCTCTGCATTGGGAGAGGAAAGAATCCATCCCTTGGCTCTTCCCAAACCCCCAGAATTCCGTGGAATTCCCACTTCCCTTTGTTCTCTTTGTGCCTTGTACCCAAAATTCCCAACATTTTGGGCTGCCAGCTTTTCCTCAAGGTTCCAGCACATTCCAGACTCCCTGGAATTCCCATGGAATTTGGATCCAGGCTCCTTTTCCCACCCTGGCTGCAGGAAGTGGGAATTCCATGAATTCTGCTTCCTGCAGGAACCAACCTGAGGCTGAAGCAGCTGCTCAGGGAGAGTTTTCCTGGGAAATCTTTGGGATTTCCACGTGGGAGCTGCATGGCTGGGGCTGGCATTCATTCTCTTCATTAATTAATTCTCTCCATTAATTCTCTTCATTAATTTTCTGCTGGCAGAAAATGTTAAAATCAGATTTTTTTTTTTCGTGTGTGTGTTAAACTCAGCTTTCAGCCTAAAAACAAGAGCAACTTCATCATTTTACAATAAAATCCTCTGCTCTGGTTTCCCCCACACTTAGGTGGGGCTTTATTTCCTTGGTTTTCCTTAGAAATTTTGGGAATTACAAATTATTTGACACCAGCTAAGTTTGGGAATAAAGAGTTTCCAAGCTGTGCTGTGCTCCCAGAATCTCAGATAAATCCCAGAGCTGTGGCCAAGCAGCCTCTGGGTGCTGAAATTTTGGATTTTAGCTACAAAATCCTCTCCAAAATGCCTACAAAATGCCCTCTCCCAGTTTTTTCCTGCATTTCCCATTTTCCCCCTACATTTCCCAATTTTTTTCTACATTTCCCATTTTTTTCCCTACATTTCCCATTTTCCCCCTACATTTCCCATTTTTTTTCCACATCTCCCATTTTTCCCTGCATTCCCCATTTTTTCCCTGCATTTCCCATTTTTTTCTACATTTCCCATTTCCCCCTACATTTCCCATTTTTTCCCCCTGCATTTCCCTTTTTTTCCCCCTACATTTCCCTTTTTTCCCCCCACATTTCCCATTTTTTCCCCCTGCATTTCCCATTTTTCCCCCCACATTTCCCTTTTTTTCCCCACATTTCCCATTTTCCCCCTACATTTCCCTTTTTTTCCCCCACATTTCCCATTTTCCCCTGCATTTCCCATTTTTTTCCTGCATTTCCCATTTTTTTTACATTTCCCATTTTTCCCCCACATTTCCCATTTTCCCCCACATTTCCCATTTTTTCCCCCACATTTCCCATTTTTTCCCCCACATTTCCCATTTTTTCCCCTACATTTCCCATTTTCTCCCACATTTCCCATTTCCCCCCACATTTCCCATTGTTTTCCCCACATTTCCCATTTTTTCCCCCACATTTCCCATTTTCCCTGCATTTCCCATTTTTTTCCTGCATTTCCCATTTTTTTTTACATTTCCCATTTTCCCCCTGCATTTCCCATTTTTTTTCCATATTTCCCATTTTTCCCCCACATTTCCCATTTTTTCCCCCCACATTTCCCACTCCCCCTGCTCCACCTGGGGCTCTCTGCTTTCCGGGAGCCTCTGGATGGGGCTGTACACTCATTTTTCCATCTCTGCTCTCTTTAGCAGGTGGTGCAATCTCAGAGTTGCTATGAAGAATTCCCTTCCCTCCCTGTCTCCTTTCCTCTCTTGGCTCCCCAGTGTGGAAAACGCTGGAATTCCCAGGCAGGACTGGCACAGACTGAATTCCATGGATTCAGGGAGTGATTTGGGGCAGGAATGACTGGAAAAGGGAGCAGCTCCATCCTCCTGCTGCCTCTGCACGGATCAGGCTGGCACCGAGCTCCAGCCGGGATTTTTGGGGACAAATCCCTGTCCCAAAGTGACCTGAACCCCTTCCCTGCCGCTCCAGAGTCTTTTATCTCCCAAAATCTCTCGGCATTCCCGGATGGAAGAGCAGCCCAAAGTGTGAGTTGGGATTCCTCACTGTCTCCTGCCAAGTCCCCTTTTCCAGCTGGGAATTCCCATCTCGCTGAGCCTGGCTTTTCCCAGGGCAGAGCTGCTGATCCCAGCCCAGATTTTCAGGAATTTCCAGTGGGATTTGAGGAGCTGAGGCCCCTCTGGAATCTGCCTTGGTTTTGTGTTTGTTTTTCCCACTCTGCCCGTGGCAGAAGGAGCAGCTTTAGATAAAAAAAGTCATTTTCCAATGGTTTTTTTTCCCCCCAAAGCTCTGCTGGAGTTCCCTCCTGTCCTTTCCAGTTGTTTTGTTCCTTCTCTTCCCTGGGAAATTCTCCTCCAGGAATCTCCAGGCTCCTCCTGGATAAATGAAAACCAATTTTTTTGTCGGAACTGAAGCAGAACTTCTCCAAAGGGTTTCTGGTTTTCCCACTTCTGGGTTAAAAACAGAAGCTGGCAGCTCATTCCCAACTTTTATTCCTTCAGGATTTCCTGTAGGAATGGGAATGGCACTTTCCCTGTCCAGCACTCACAGCCTGGCACCTCTTATCCCACACCAACATCCTGATCAGAGGAAATTTCATTCCTAAATCCCTTTTTTCCCCCCAGACTTTGGAGTTTCATTGCTCTCATTTTGGAATTATTGGGATTATCAGGAGCTATTTAAATTTCCTGGCTGTCCTGCAGGCTTTAAAAGCAGGAAGGGAGTTGGAAAATGACGAATTTGGAGCCAGAACTGTGCAGGTATCAAAATGAGGAGAGAGAAAACATTTGGAAATCAGAGGTTTTGAAATTTTTCAAAACTTGATGTTTTCATTCCCAGCTTTGCGGACATTTGGGTTCATTTGGGGAAATTTATAACCACGAGTGTAAAATTCCTTTTTTTTGGTTCTTTTTGCTTGTGGGGTGACTCTGCCTTGCCAAACCCACCTGGGTGCTGGGCCCGACCCCCCAAATTAAAAGTGCCCAGGCCAAGGTTCTGCAGGTTGGCTGAAAGCATTGAATCCACCCCAAACTCAGCTTCCCCTCTGTACAGTGTAAATGCCTTTGTTTATTCCCATCCCTCTGTTATTTCCTGATTATTCCCATCCTTATTTCCTGCTCTGTTCCCATCTTTATTTTATTTCCATCCTTATTTTATTTCCTGCTTTATTCCCATCTTTATTTCCTGGTCTGTTCCCATCTTTATTTTATTTCCTGGTTATTCCCATCCTTATTTTATTTCCCAGTTTGTTTCCATCCTTGTTTTCTGTCCTGGTTATTCCCATCTTTATTTTATTTCCTGCTTTATTCCCACCCTTATTTTATTGCCTGCTTTGTTCTCATTTCCTGGCTATTCCCATCCTTATTTTATTTTATTTTATTTCCTGCCTTATTCCCATCTCTATTTTATTTCTCACTTTGTTCCCATCTTTATTTTATTTCCTGCTTTCTTCCCATGCTTATTTTATTTTCTTTCCTGGTTATTCCAATCTTTATTTTATTTTCTTTCCTGGTTATTCCCATCCTTATTTTATTTTCTTTCCTGCTTTGTTCCCATCCTTATTTTCTTTCCTGCTTTATTCCCATCCTTATTTTCTTTCCCGGTTTGTTCCCATCCTTATTTTATTTCCTGGTTATTCCCATCCTTATTTTATTTCCTGATTTATTCCCACCCTTATTTTATTCCCTGGTTTTGTACAATATTGGAGCAGCTCCTGCAGTGGTGGTGGTTCTGTGTTTGTAAATAAAGAGGTACCTTCCATTTCCTAAAATCCACGGGTAAATCTTGGCTTTTCCATGGAAAAGTTGGGGGTTTCTGTCGTGCTGGAATTTGGGAATCTTTCAAACACGCCGTGTTTGGGATTTTTAGGGTATTTTTTGTTGGTTTTAATGAAGGGAGAGGAGTAAAGCTGGAGTAAAACCAAACCCTGAGTGCTCAGGGAATGGAATTCCCAGAGAATCTGTGACTGTCCCAGGCCAGGCTGGACGGGCTTTGGAGCATCTGGGATGGTGGAACGGGTGGGATTTGAGGTCCCTTCCCACCCAGAGCAGTCTGGAATTCCCAGATCCCTGAGTGCACTCGGAGCTCGGAGGGGAGGGCAGCTCCAGGGGGGATTGGGGGTGGAAAATCCTCCTGGAGCTTTGGGAATTCCTCAGTTCGATTTAAGGAGTGTGAGGAAGAGAAGTTCATCTGAATTTGGGTTTGCAGAGGAGCTCGACAAACCCAAATCCCTGTGGGAATCCAGGGATGCCCATCAGGAGACTCTGATTATGGGATGCCTTTTCCGTAAAACTCTGGTCAGAAACTATGGAGAACATGATTCCGTAGAACTGTGGGGGGTTCCTCCATCAAAAAAACCTGGATTTTCCAGGGAAGAACGCTTCAGCAGTGCATTGATTGTTTCCATAGAACTGGGGGGGTTCTTCCATCAAAAAAACCTGGATTTTCCAGGGAAGAACCCTTCAGCAGTGCATTGTTTGTTTCCATAGAACTGTGGGGGGGTTATTCCATCAAAAAAACCTGAACCTGGATGTTCCAGGGAAGAACGCTTCAGCAGTGCATTATTTTTTTTGGGATGCTTGAGCACTGCATGGATCCTACCGGAAACTCTGAGCGTTTTCCCAGGATGGCAGTGGGGAACGATTCCTGTGGATCCATCAGTGGCTGTCTGGGGTCGGATCCCTCAGGAATGAGGGCTCTGAGAGCTCTCCCAGCTCCTGTGGCTCCTTCCAAGGCTGGGAATTTCATCCAGAGCCTCACCCGGAGCTTCTGGAGCCCTCAGCTCCCAGGATTTGCTGGACCTTCCCTGAGGGTTCTTCCTTGGAATGTTTGGGGCTGTTGTGCCCCGGCTGTGACATCAGAGCTGCTCCCATGGGAACAGCTCCAGGGCCTGGTGTGGACACAGAGTGACCAGAGCCAAAGTGGCTCAGACCGCCCTGGATTCCCATGGATCAGCCCAAATAGAGGTTGGAATGTTGGGGTTGGATTTGGGGAGTGCTCCAAACTGGGATGTGTTTGTGTAAGTCAGGATTGGACAGGGCCTCCATGAGGAACTGGGATTTTGGGATTTCCTCACACTCCACAGCGTTATTTGGGAGATTCCAGCAGTAACTCCTGCTGGAAATTCGGAGTTTGGTGGGAAAATGAAAGTGGAGCCGCTCCTTTTCCGGTGGAAATCCGTCCAAAATAAAACCCATCAAAAATAATGATGGAAGTCTTACAGAGGGGAGAGAATTTCACTGAAATTGCCGAGCACAGCCAAAACCGATGGAATTTGGGCAGAGTTGGATTGGATCCAATGGATCAGAATATCCTCCTGTCCTGTTCAAAGAACATTCCCGATGGAATTCCTGGAATTCCCACTCTGCTGGATCCAGTAATACCTTGCTGTGTCTTTTTTTAGTTGTGCCTCCAGCTCCACATCGGGAGGATTTTCCCAGGTGGAAGGATTAGATCTGGTGGGATGTCAGAGACATCCCAAAGAACCTGGGAGATTCATGGAATGATTCCTGGGGGTTCGGAGTGCTGAACCCAGACACAGAAGCGCCTGGAAGATGGAGCAGAGCCCCATCGTGGTGATCCTGCTGTGCGCCCTGTGCATTCCAGCAATGCTTCCCTTGGGATTGGGAACGGAGCTTCCCTCGGGAGCAGGATTGGAGCTTCCCTTGGGATTGGGCTCGGAGCTTCCCTCAGGAGCAGGACCGGAGCTTCCCTTGGGACCGCGATTGAAGCTTCCCTTGGAACCGGGCTCAGAACTTTCCTCGGAACCGGGATTGGGATCGGGGCTTTCCTTGGACCCAGGATCGGAGCTTCCCTCGGAAGCGAGATGGGGATCAGAGCTTCCCTCGGGATCAGAGCTTCCCTCAGAAGCACGATCAGAGCTTCCTTCAGAACCGGGATCTGAGCTTCCCTCGGAAGCGGAATCAGATTCCGAGCTTCCCTCAGAACTGGGATCAGGCTTGGATCTTCCCCCGGGAGCGGAGTCCATCCCGCTGGGGCTGAAGCCCATGGTGGCGGTAAACTCCACGCCCTGCAGCGTCACCTGCGGGCTGTTTAGTTGTGCCTCCAGCTCCACATCGGGAGGATTTTCCCAGGTGGAAGGATTAGATCTGGTGGGATGTCAGAGACATCCCAAAGAACCTGGGAGATTCATGGAATGATTCCTGGGGGTTCGGAGTGCTGAACCCAGACACAGAAGCGCCTGGAAGATGGAGCAGAGCCCCATCGTGGTGATCCTGCTGTGCGCCCTGTGCATTCCAGCAATGCTTCCCTTGGGATTGGGAACGGAGCTTCCCTCGGGAGCAGGATTGGAGCTTCCCTTGGGATTGGGCTCGGAGCTTCCCTCGGGAGCAGGACCGGAGCTTCCCTTGGAACCGGACTCGGAGCTTCCCTTGGGACCGGGATTGAAGCTTCCCTTGGAACCGGGCTCAGAACTTTCCTCGGAACCGGGATTGAGATTGGGGCTTTCCTTGGACCCAGGATCGGAGCTTCCCTTGGAAGCGAGATGGGGATCAGAGCTTCCCTCGGGATCAGAGCTTCCCTCAGAAGCACGATCAGAGCTTCCTTCAGAACCGGGATCTGAGCTTCCCTCGGAAGCGGAATCAGATTCCGAGCTTCCCTCAGAACTGGGATCAGGCTTGGATCTTCCCCCGGGAGCGGAGTCCATCCCGCTGGGGCTGAAGCCCATGGTGGCGGTGAACTCCACGCCCTGCAGCGTCACCTGCGGGCTGGGCGTGAAGCAGGAGCAGCTGTGCGAGGTCAGCCCGGCCGGGCAGCGCCGCAACTGCTCCCTGGTGCGCTCGCGCTGCCTCACCGACTGGATCTGCGGCCTCCGGCACTTCAGCGTTCCCGAGGGAAAACCCTTCAAGCTCGTCTGCCTCTCCCCGGACGCCGCCAGCCTGGAGGGACCAAATTTTGGCTACACCTGGAGGTTCGCCCGGGGACTCATCACCACCAACGACCTCCTGTTCCACCCTTTCCGCAATCCCAGCCCTTCCCTGAGCTTCTCGCCGGCGCTGGAGTCGCATTCCGGGACCTACCGCTGCGACGTGCAGGTGCTGAGCTCCTTCAAGCTCGTCAAGAGGATCTACTTCGGCCTCAGGGTGATCCCCAAGGATCTGGTGGATCTGGACTTCGAGAAATCCCTGACCTGGGAGCAGCAGCTGGTGGCCAACGGGGAGGAACCACCGGGAAACGTCACGGGTGCCCCGGAGCAGCAGGAGAGCTTTTGGAAGAAGCAGTGGTTTTACGAGGCCGTGCTGGGAATTGGGAGTGGGGTGATCATGGGGATCCTGTTCAGCCTCGGGCTCTGCTGCCTGGGCAGGATTTGCAGGAAAAGAGCAGCGCGAGAAATGAACGAAGATTGACGCAATTCCCTGCCTTTGGCTCTTTGTTAGGATCAGGAATTCAGGGTGGGAGTCTTGGGATCGTCCATTGTTGGATTTAGTGATCCTCCCCTTCCAACTCAGGACGTCCCATGGATCCCATAACTATTTCATGGGATATTTAGAATTTATTTGCAACAGACAAGTTTATTATTGAATTTTTTTGGCTGCTTTGGAGCCTGGATTAAGAATTCAGGAATTCATAATGGGATTCTTTGGGTCGTCCACAGTTGGATTTTGGTGATCCTCCCCTTCCAACTCCGGACATTCCATGGATCCCATAACTATTACATGGGATATTTAGAATTTATTTGCAACAGACAAGTTTATTATTGAATTTTTTTGGCTGCTTTGGAGCCTGGATTAAGAATTCAGGAATTCATAATGGGATTCTTTGGGTCGTCCACAGTTGGATTTTGGTGATCCTCCCCTTCCAATTCAGGACGTCCCATGGATCCCATAACTATTTTGTGATATTTAGAATTTATTTGCAAAAGACACAGTTTATAAATTAATATTTTAGGCCACTTTGGAGCCTGGATTAGGAATTCAGGATGGGATTCTTGGGGTCGTCCACAGTTTTTCCTTTTACCATGACGACACAAAAATGCTTTGATATCAAAAAACATGGGTATGGAGGGAAATAATTTTATTTATTTGAATGAAAACCAAACAGGCACTTCCCAGAGCTGATTCCCAGAGGGTTTTTTTCACCTCCTGAACATGGAAAAATCGGGAATGACCCATCACAGCGGGCTGGGAGTTAATGGTCCAGAGCTGCCCCATCTGCAGGAGCCTCTCTGCTCTTTGTCATGGAAATTTCAGTGTCTTGGGCCCAGCTGGGATTCCCAAATCCAGCAGGATGAAAGCTCCAGCTCTGCTGGGGAAGTCAGAGCGGGAGCCAAAAATCTCCTTCATCTTTGGATTGCGGGGTTTTGTAATTTCTGAGAGGAGCCAGATGCTCAGAGCAGGGAAAATGAACCCATAATTGGAATTTTTATTTGGAGACCGAGGGCTGGGATGGCCACTGGGGTCCAGCTGTCACAAAGGGCTTTTAATGGGATTTTTTTCAGGGGGTGCTCTTTGATTTTTGAAGG